ACCAGTACAGTGGATCCCATCGTTAGTTGTTATTGGAGTTGCTTTGTTTGTCAACATAAATCCTTTACTTGTTAATTAATGGAAATTGTATTTTTGTTTGGATAGTATGTATTTATTTCCTCGCGTTCTTAGCAGGATACAGTATGCTCATTACCGAAAGATTAAGACCACCGAAATCGAAACAATTGGAACTGACGGATGCAATGCTTTTGAAGTAAATATCACAATTATTATTATTGTATTACAGTCACTAGAAAGCCAATGGAATAAACTCACTTGAACCGTGTATTTCAGCCTTATCACATTTTAGGTCATTCATGCCTCCTCTGGGGACGAGATGTGAATTGTCAACCTTTAGATCTTCCGAGCACTTATAATATATTATAAGAATGGTGGGATTCAATTGTAAATCCCTTGAATTCTGTGTCATACTTCCAAAGATTTTTCGATATAATGATCTTTAAAATCAAATGAAAACGTTATTAAATTAGCTGAGCAACTCCAAGCCTATTAGTGAAAACAAAAATTAATTTCAGACTTGACTTTCTCCAATTTCCATGTTTCCATGAAACGTTGCAGTATTTTTCGCTATGGGCAGGCAATCATTAAAATTAGACTATCCATGAGCTGAGGAGGCCTGCTGATTTTCCTTTAATTAACCGAGAAGTTTTGATGGTTCGCAGTAGAACTGGCAGATCTTTTCCAAGCTTTATTTATGTGTAGATCTTGCATCGGTAACCCATGATCACTCACACACTCACACTGCTCAGTTCTACTGTAAAACCACGTTATGGATCATCTTTATTTGTGCTAATGTTGGGTCATTTTGACCCTCGTCTTATCGTATTATTTCGTCGATCAATCAAGAAATCATATCATGCGTACACACTTTGCTCGCTACGTTCATGTGCATCTTATAACGACCGGCCCCAACAAAGAATTTAGCTGGTTAAAAGACGAATAAACTTTTTTTAGCAGCATAAGGCGTAATGGGCTGTTCATAAACTAAGTAGATACTTTATTAAGATGTGTTGGACACCGCCCCCCCCCCCCCCCCAGCGTAGTGAATTGCCGGTTCAACATTTTGGAAATTTGTATGTACCGTAATCACTTGCCAACCCCCTCTCCCTTAAAGGGTCTACGTGGTATATGAACGGACCCCAAGGGGCACTCTGGGGAAACTCTCCTCAATTTAAGTCGTGCCGAGAGATTTAGTTGTGCCAAAAGCTGTGTCGGACAGGGTTGCTTCCATTCATTTCACAACAAAAAGAGCTTGTACAGTTTGTGTTGGACATAAAACCTGTCAATTTTGCTTTATGAGTGTCGTAATAAGCAATTTCATCTTATTCTATCACCCATTCTTCATAATTCATTCTTCGTGAACAGCGATCTGTAAATCGCGTATTGTGACTCTTTCAAAGCAAACTTGGCAAGTTTTATGGATACATCAGATTCCTTACAACCTGGGTACTGCAGACTCACTCAATATGCTTGTCACTTGGGAGCCAGTCAGAACTGTCAAACAGGAGCCAAACATTCAGAAGCAACAAACTCAGTTACTGTTCTTACCTCTCGTCAAGCATTGCAATCTCATAAAAATGATTCATACTTTTTCATAACACATTCTTAATTGTAAGCTCAATGATGAAAGTATAAAAACCAGCATAGTTTTTATGACTCAGCTGAGTTTTCAATTGCAGTAAAACAGTTTGGCGAAACATGTATGTAAACAAACTTTGATAGAGTCATGGGGGCTCGAGCACTCCTAGCTCAGAGCTTTTGGCGGGAATCAACTGAGAAAGAACAAAACAATATTAAACTTGAAACAATTTTCAAGCAGTTTTCCATTTGCTTGCAAAATGAAATCTATTTACTCCGCAGTACTCAGCTTACAACCTCTTCTTGTAACGTACAAATACAAAATATCATTATAACATCTTATGAGTCCATAATACCATAAAACATTTTTTATGCAAAATGAATGGAAGTAACCCAGATGACAAAAGCTGTACCAAAAGTATCGAAGTGTGCTTATAATGGTGTCAATATCCCATGAGTTTGGCAATCCTAAAAGTTACAATCACTTATGAGATTGTGTTTACATTTTAAATTTTTCTGCTTCATTAACAAAAGAACATGAGCGGAGAGCGAGAAAGTAACAGTAAGTTATCATGCCTGTGTGAGATTCAACAACAACAACAACGCATCCATAAGATTCCGGCTACATGTCCCTTTTTGAATTGATGATTCCTAGCGCGTGTGCGTAACCTGATAGATGGTAGATAAAATTGTCACCAGCTGCCTGTTAAATTCTCTTCGACTAAAGCAAACCTAGAACTAAAACGGGTGAAAGTTCAATTCCGCATTCCACCCTAAGAGCAACATTTTCATACAAGCTTTTAGTGTGATCCTCAGTTTTCATGGAGATTTTCAGGCCTGTTCTTAACGGCGTATGAGGTATGGAGACACGCTGTCGCTGGTGCCGGTGGTGTAGTGGTAAGAGTGACTGCTTTCTCACCCCAATGGGTCTGGGTTAAATCCCAGCCGAGGTCGGTGGAATTTTTCTGAGGCATAAAAATCTCTAGTCACGTCTTTCTTCGAAAGGGAAGTAAAGCCGTTGGTCCCGGCCCATGTGTGTTGAATGGGTGCGATATCCTACGCAGGTAGCTTCCGAAATGGATGGCAATCGATGTCCGTCGGTGATTGGCACTAGATTGCGGAACAGAGACCGACGTTAAATAAAGGAAAGAAGAAGAATAAGAAGAAGACACACTGTCACTTGTGCAGCGAAAATTGTCACCTAGGGTGAGGTGACTCTCCGTGCAAATCAAATGGAGAGTCACTTCACCTTAAGTGACAATTGTCACTACAACATCACTTCACTGTCACCTCACCTCACACGGAGCGCAGAATAGGACTGTTTATGTTTCAATAATAACGGTTTGAAGAGCACCGTGATTGCACTAAGGAGTACATCGGTCCAGATCTGATGGAATAGTTGGAGTTAACAAGTATCAACATCCCCAGCAATACTGAGACTATGGACAATCCTAAAGTCCTGTGAATTTCCAGTCACTGCTAAGAATAACCATGCAAAAACGTTGGTGAAATTCATAAAAATCCATCTCGGAAGATATTGGGCAAGACCGGAAACTAATATGGTGCACAAAACAATGCTATTTTATATTATATTGTTTGTGTTCTACTTGTAAATACGTAGAAAATAGAAGAAAAAAACGAGTCGAAGGGGGGAGGGGTGGTTGATTTTTGATCAATTTCGCGAGACGTGCTAAACTGACTCGTCATAGAGTTGAT